TAAAAGAGGATTCAAACTTAACAGTATAAAAGTAAAATATAACTAAACCCTAAAGTCATAAACAATAGGAAGCTATTCCACGCCTTCTTAGGGGCTGGCTACATAGATAACTGTGGTGGTTTGAAAGAAAATGGTCCCCAAAGGGAATAGCACTTTTAGGAGGAGTGGCCTTACAGGAGTAGGTGTGGTCTTATGGAGGAAGTGTGTCACTGTGGAGAAGGCTTTGAGGTCTCATATATGCTCAAGCCATGCCAAATGAGACAGTCTGATGCATCCATATCAACATGTAGCAGCCCCTTCTCCAGCACTATATCTGCCTGCATGCTGCCATGCTCCCTGCAATGATGATAATGGACTAAACCTCTGAAACTATAAGCTGCAACCTCAATTAAATGTTTCCCTTTATATGAGTTGCTATGGTCAAAGTATCTATTCCCAGCAATAGAAACCCTAACTAAGACAGTAACCCCCCAAAAATTCATTGGCTCACCAAGTTGGATCTTGGTCATATCCATACTTTGGTCTTTTGTGGGTTCTTTATCTAAAGTGAGTAGACGTTTGCATTGCAACACCCCAGGAAATGTTTGTCAGACAACATCTGTAAGGCTTGCTTCTTCATAAAGAAAACAAGCATAAAAAGATATGTACTAATAAGGTTGTTACAGAGGAGTAGAGGAGAGGAAATGGAGGAGCAGAAATATTGAGTTGGGGCAAGAATAGAGGAGAGAGAGCAGGATGAGAGATACCATATTAGAGGGAGCCATTATAGGTCCGAGAAGAGATCTGGAACTAGGGAGATCTCCAGAGACCTACAAGGATGACACGATCTGACAACCCAGGTAATGGTGGAGAGGATAACCTAAAAGCCCTTCCCCTAAAATGAGATTGATGACTACTCTTTATGCCATCCTAGAGCCCTCATCCAGTGGCTGTTGAGGAAGCAGAGACAGACATCCACAGATATACACTGAGCTGAAATCTGAAATTTAGTTGACGAGAGGGAGGAATGAAGATCGAAGGTGTCTGTACCAGGTTGGAGAAACCCACAGAAACAATTGGCATGAACAAGGGGAGCACATCAACCCCTGATGCTGTTTGGAAGGAAAGAACAAGATTGATTCCGACCCCTGAACTTGGGACAAGACTGCTCCAGACCCCTGAACATGGATGTCAATAAGGAGGCCTCTGCTCTCCAGGAAGCCTCTGGTAGTGGATTAGTGTTTTTCCCTGGTGTAAGAAGAGACTTTGAGAGCTCATCCCACGTGAAGGAGGGTGGGGTGGGGGGTAGGTTGGGGATGGGGGAGGGATGGGGATGAGGTGAGGGAGAGGGAGAAGGGACTTACATGTGAAACAAGCTTGTTCCCTAACTTGAACTAATAAAAAAAAGAAGAAGAAAAAAAATAAGGTTGTTACAAAAACTGAATGAGAAAATGCTATAGGCAACATGCTCTGCCTAGTACCTAACAAAATGGCACTTAGGTAAGATGTATCCTTCAAGACCAACACAAGTAGAAACCATACTATTAAATGAAATAAGCCAGACTCAGCAAGATCAATCTACATGCCACTTTGTACATGCAAAATCTAGATTTAAAAATCATATATGTATCTATATATGTTTGTATGTGTATTTATGTGTATAAGACATGAAACTGGAAAGGGACTCATAAGAAGGAAGAACGAGATATAACAGAGCCAGAAAATACAGAGAGTAATGGAATATTTGTGGGGAGAAAGGAGAAAGGAAGACTAGCTTGACGGATGGCATGGAGCCAGCAAGAAGGAAGAGGGGTATGAGGGGGGGAGGGGAAAAAGGAACAAATGAGAATGAAGTCTAATGACACATGTGTATGAAGATACCATATGAAACGCATGGCTCTGTGTTCTAATCTAAAAATAAATAAATAAATAAATCATTTTTTTAAAGGTGAAATGGAGCCACGGGTCAGAGACTCATTTACACAAATTGCAGACATCTGATTTCTTAATCACAGATGGATCTATCTGAGAAATGAACACCCAGCCTTGGGTCACACTCTCTCAGTTCCAGCTCATGTTCTGGTGCAAGCCTGGCTCTAGTGTGATCTCTGCCCTCGATTTATTTTGGAAACACTCGAGGGTGTCCAGTCAAAACCACAACATCCTGTGCTCCTTGCTGCTGGGGTCACCATTCTCAGGAAGAACAACAAGTGAGCTGGAAGGCCAACGGGGAATGTCAGTGAGCAAGTCTGCCCCCTGCCTGGGGCTAGAGCACACCCCTGTGAAATCCCCATGTTCTGGAAGACAGAGGATCTGCTTTCCCACAAAGACCTGGGAAATCAATCTTCTTAATAATAAACAGGCCTGAAAAGATCAATGGCCTGGAAACATTCCTTGAAGATATTAATAAGCTCCAACTATAAACAATAAGCAACTGTTTGACTGACAGTCATAACTCATACCCTGCCCAAACATACACATACATAAACAGAGGCAGGCAACACATATCCAGCCCTGAAGAGCTATGGAGCTTCTGAAAATTAGGCAAGCATGCATTTCTGTTGTCTTCAGTTCTTCCTGATATGTTCACTACTGACCCTGTGTACTCATGGAAGGCACACTTCACAGACACTTCACTGCTACAATACTCCACCACCTGTGGGAACCTTTTTCCACTGAATAATACTTTTTCAAAAAGTTAAAGCTAGGCAAGATCCCTCTAAAGTTACTATTACTGAAATATTAAATTTGAAAGCATTCTCCATTCTTTGTGTGTACTTGCTTTTGAAGATGTTGTATTAGTGACATGTACTATTTAGAAGGCATTAGATTAGATCCTGCCATGAGACAAAGGTTGGTTGGAAACAGATATATCTCGGAAGGCACTTAATTTGTTTTAAGATATCTAAAGATAAAGAGTAAATATAAGGAACATAATAATGATAATAATAAAACAGTAATAATTAAGCTCTTATTCTGGCTTCTGGCTTCAAGAGGCTTCTGTGCGGCAGTGCTTCAGAGTTCCTCAGAGGCAGGCTCTGCCCCTGCTGCACACATGTGGGAGCTCTGTTCTACAACCGCTGTGATGATTTCCTTCCACTTTATACCAATAGCTGCACAAAAATCTACCAGGCATGGAACTACGAACCACAGGACATGAGGATGAAGGGTCATATTTCCTGCCATTTCTGAATGTCACACACCTTGACGACAGTTTGGCTTTCACAGTCGGATCTGGATTGCAAGGGCCAAGTTCAGTTTTTGTCATTAAGATGTGCCTGCTCTGGACTCTCCTAGCAGCCACGAGCACTTAATTCTTGAGTCTGCACTTTTACCTGTTCAGTTCTCATTTACTATTCCCCTGTTCTCAAGGTCACAGATACCTGAAATTTTGTCACTGCAACCCTGGTGTGATGTTTGAATATGGTAATCTTATTATTTGATTGGATTTGACATTCGGCTGTACTTGAGTGTCAAGCATAAAGACAGAGTCAAGTAAGTGATAGACACAAACTATTAATTGGAATTAATGATGATTAAAAATTCCTCAAAGAATGAATGGGTCTCTGTTTCTTGTGCCTTTTCATGAGCTCTTTTCTTTCTGCTTGTTTGTTTCATCTAATTCTAGTGTGTTAGTTTTTTGTTTTCTCTTATATTATAGTATTATTCCCTAGAAGCCTGTCTGTTTTCTAATGAGAAGCAGAAACAGGGTGGATCTGGATGGGAAGAAAAATGGGGAAGAGCTAGGAGGAGAAGAGGAAGGGAAAATCCATAATTATGATATATTATGTGGGGGAAATCTATTTTCAATAAAGAAATATATATAAATTTCAATAAAGAAAAATATATAATATGTAAAAATAAATAATGCATTTGGAAGCTTCTATAGTAATAGGTTTCAGTTTTTAAAGTATATATCTATACCACCTTAAATCTTTCATAATTACTTCAGTAAGTTAACTGTTGTTTTAAAAAAAAATCTGAATTTGAGAAAAGCCTGAATTTAGAGCTTCTATTGAGTTAAAAATGGCTGTTTAACACTGTCTATAGATCAGAACACATTTTTTTTCAGTACTGAACACTGAGCCTTAGACCTCACTTGCATTAGGAAAGTCTGTTTCTCTGAGGCACCCTCTGACTTTTCACCTTGGAAGTTTTACTGTGTGGTCCAGTCTAGCCTAGGTCTTAATCCATAGTTAAGGCTGCACTTTCAGCTCTCCCCTTCAGCCTCCCAAGCAGCTGGGATTACAGGTGCATGCCACCAGGCTGTCTGCATACACATTTTCTTTATGAAATCTTGGAAAGAATATAGCATTGCTGAATATTGAAAGGAAGATTGGCAGGGCTAGGAGAATAGGTCAATGGCGGAGCTCTTGACTAACATTTCAAAGCCTTAGCTTCCAGCCCACTCACCATTAAAAAGATGGAGTTTTATAAAAAAAAAAAAACAAAACAAAAAAAAACATACCCATACCTTATGCTCTTAATATGGAATCATTGTTTTATATAACTTTAAATCTTCTGCTGTGTTCCACACATTTAGGGTTACCACGTGTGCTGATGTGCTTTTTGTCTTTAGCCCCATCAGATGCTGAATTACTTTTGAACATTGCTCATTACTAATTGTTCCTATATCATTAAAGATGTACACTGATAGGATCTTTTGTGTGAGAAATACTATCAGCTTCCTGGATACAATATTCTCAATATTTTAGAAACTTTACCTACAATTAGTTCCTCAGAGTGGGGTTAAAATACCAAAACAAAAAAAAACAAAAAACAACAACAACAAAAAACCCTTAAATCTTTATTCATCTCCTGACAGAAGCTGGGTCTTTAAAAAAAAATTACTCAAAGCCTTGTCTTTGTTTTGTGGCTTTCTTCCAGTTCCCATATTCATGCGATTCATGCTAAACCTTTGTGGAAGAGGTGCCATTTTTTTTTTTTTCACAGAGTTGGTGAAATCCCAGTCCCAGCTTTGAGTATCCTATAATACCCGAGCACTGTCAGGCATGACTCACCTTCTGCGATCCCACTGCCCTTCTTCCTGCTGTTGTGAAGAGGGAGCACCTCCAAGGCTGAGATGCCCGACCTCTCCAGAATGTTCATCTCCACAGTCAGCCTCCCCACCAGCTGCTGGGGGCGCACGCTGATGGAGTGCTCGTATTTCCCCAGCCTCCTCTGCAGAAGCTCTTCATAACTGAGGAGGAAAGCGGCCTTGTCCTTGCTGGGAATCACTAAGGAAGCTCTGAATGTGTCAGTCTCCTTCTCCCTGTTAGAAAGGAAAAATGGACCACGAATAAGTTCCGGGGAGGGAAAGCCTGGTTCCCTCCTCAGGATGCCTGCCATACTTGCCAAAGAGACTCTTGGGCCGAGCCCCATGAGAGCTCTAAGAAAAGAGAAATGAGAGCTATGGGTGTTCTTCAAGGGTAGATTGCTTGCCCAGTGAGCAGGAAGCCCTAAATTCAATCCAAGTATCATAAAAAAATAAATAAATAAAAATCAATTTTAATTTTGGAAGAAGTATAGACCTAACCTAGATAGAGGAAGGCCACATTCATGGTTTGATCTGAAGCGCCCCTCCTGGGTTGGGCACTTGTTCACCAATCAATGGCAATTTTGGGGGGGAGTTGTGGAACCTTTGAGCTTAGCTAGACAAAGTAGGTTATCAATGAAAGATCCCTGAGGGATAATAGCTCAACCCAGTTCCTTGTTAGCTTTCTCTGCCCCTGATGCTGCCATATGGGAGCCCGCCCCCACAAACTCCAACTCCATAGACAGAGGCTCTCACCATGGGCCTTCCCCTCCATGATGGATAAGAGCCCCGGAAAACATGAGCAAAATAAATCCTTCCTCTCTTCAGTTGATTCTGTCAGATTTGTTTGTTTGCCTCCTACCCACAGCCAAAGAATACTGAATGGAGAGAAGTAAATATCTGGGTATCTCCCTTAACTCTCTCTGAGATAGACCCAAGGAGATAGATGATATAATGAGTACAGTTCAGAGATGAGCTGCTAGAAGAGTGAGCTTGGCCCTTACAGGTGTGGCCAAGAAAATGCAGACCCCTTACATAACTCTAAAATTGACAATACATTACATTTTTACACTTTGGTGATTTGTTTATCAGTAAATAAAATAAATGTCTGTGAAAGTTATAAAACTACTAACCATTTCAAAAACTTTCAGGACTTGGGGATCAGGTTGTCTGCTGTAAGGTGGAAGGACACCAACAGTGGTTAAGATACTCAAGAACATGCCAAGAAAACTTGTTTGTTGGGGGAAGAATCCATCTAAACAAGAATTCTATAGCTCAGAACATTCTGGAAGAAGCTGCAGGAAGGAAGAGACTCAAACTGTCTAGAGAAATCTCAGCAAAACTACAAGTTCTGAATCTGGGAGGATACATGAAAAAAGGAATGAGAGAAGAGACCAGATAGAGGAGACCATTCCAGTCCACATATGAGTGGCTCACTGTACTCCCCCCAAGAGCTAGAAAGAGACACAAATAAGAGACACAGAAAAGTTTCACCCCATACTAGGCAGATCAAATGGAAAAGAAATGACAACAAAATCCATTAAAGTAAAACTTCAGAACATGTGATGGAGGAAACTTGGGGAAGGAATGCTATTAGCTCACATTCAATTCATCATTAGTAAAACTAGATTTGATTACACAAGACACTGGAAGAATAACTCAAAGTTCAGAAGGGAAGTTATTTTCATCTTAAATTCCATTCACATCCAACGTATTGAGCCAGGCCTCAGAAGGTTTGTCCATCATGCACACGTGCTAAGAAAGTGACTTCAGAATATGCTTTTAACAAAGGTAAAAACCATAAAAGAGGGGAAGACATGGAATCAAAGAAATAATAAAACCATTTCAGAACAAAGGGATATTCCAGAATAGATGTTTTACAGCAGATCTACAAGGCAAAAGCTGTATATTGCATGGACGGGGCCCAGCCATGTTTTCACAGCTTAAGAAACTAGAATTTGCCCTCATAATCATGTGTCTTGTAATTGATATTGGCCAGACATCCAGGGTGTGGGATGGTTGGCTGTCATTGCATCCAGAAACCCAGTTACAGCTATTCATTTTTATCATTTCAAATAAACTATGTGTCTTAGTAGATGTTAACAGTGACAAAATTAAATTCTATTTCCTAAGAAAAAAGAAAAGCAATTAGAAACTCCAGGACTTACAGTCCAACTAAATTAAACCATGCCATCATCCTGAACAATTCTGATAAAGACAACCCGGGTCACAGCTGTTGCTTAGCAAAGTGAGCTTTTGATGACTTGCTGCACCAAGGGAGAGGGCATCCAGAGGCACTGTGCAGCATCTCACCAAACAAAGGGATGGAACATAGGATTGTTGGAAGGGCAGAGGGAACAGGGTAGGTAAAGTCTCAATGAGGAATTGTTTGAACAGGCTCAAAACAAGCAGGGTTGTGTGTAAAGCCATCAATGTCACCTTGACTAGAATGCCTCACCGTCCTGTGTCCTTGGGAACTGTAATGTTAGGACAAACATGGAGCAATCTGTCCATATCTGAATATCCCTTATCTGGCTCTCTGGGCTTGGTTTGCTTTTCAGAATAAGAGTGAACCCAAGGCTCAGGTCTTCCATGCAGAATGAGCTCTTCCATTCTCACTGATGGCATTTGAGAATTAGTTTTCTCCCAAACAATGTCCCTTTATCAATGAACAAAACCAGGTTTACAAATGCACAACCTGCCAGGTGTGGTGGCGTGCACCTTTAACGAAGCATTTGGGAGGTAGAGGCAGGCAGATCTCTGTGAGTTCAAGACCAGCTTAATCTACAGAGCAAGTGCCAGGATAGGCTCCAAAACTACATGGAGAAACCCTTACTCAATAGAGGAGAGGAAAATAAGAGATACCATCAGAGAGGGAGCCAATGTAGGTTTAAAGAGAAATCTGGCACTAGGGAAATGTCCAGAGATCTACAAGGATGACACCAACTAACCATCTAAGCAACAGTAGAGAGGCTACCTTAAATGCCCTCCCCTGATAACAAGATTGATGACTGACTTATATAACATCCTAGAGCCTCCATCCAGCAGCTGATGGAAGTAGAAGCAGATACGCACAACCGAACACTGAACTAAACTGGAATCCAGTTGCAGAGAAGGAGGAATGATGAGCAAAGGGGTCAAGACCATGCTAGTGAAACCCAAAGAAATAGCCAACCTGAACAAGTGGGAGCTCTTGGACCCCAGACTGATCACTGGGAAACCAGCATGGAACTGGTCCAGACCCCATGAACGTGCATGTCAGTGAGGAGACCTTGGAAATCTATGGGGCCTCTTTTAGTAGATCAGTACTTATCCCTAGCATAGGAATGCACTTTGGGAGCCCATTCCACATAGAGAGATACTCTCTCAGCCTAGACACACAGGGGAGGGCCTAGGCCCTATCCCAAAGGATAGGATAGACTCTGAAGCCCCCATAGAAGGCCTCACTCTCCCTGGGGAGCAGAAATGGTATGGGATAGGTAGGGTGTTAGTGGGGGACAGGGGAGGAGAGGAGGGAGAGGGAATGGGGGTTGATATGCAAAATAATCTTGTTTCTAATTTAAATAAAAATGGAGAAAAAAAAGAAACCCTGACTCTTTTGAAAAACCAAAAAAAAAAAAAAAATAGAAATGCACAACCTTTTGTCTAGATACTAAAATGACTTTTCTGTAAAGGGAAAAGAAACTTTCCAATTGGACAAGCAGAGGGGGGAAATAAAATATTTGTGTACTAGACAGCACCTGTCAGTATCAGTCATCATTACAAAGGAAATGCTGGGACTAGAAAGACGGCTCAGTGGATAAAGTACTTGATGAACAAACGCAAGGACCTGAATTCAGATGCCTAGCATCCCTAGAAAAAGCTGGCTAAGGCCATGTTTACCTGTATTCACTTGCCAGCTGGGCTAGCCAAAACAGCAATCTTCACTGAGAAATACCTTCTCAAAAAACCAAGGTGGCCAGTGGTAGCGGACAATATCTAAAGACATCCTCCAGCCTTCACTTACAGGTGAGTGCACACACACACACACACACACACACACACACACACACACGCATGCATACACCAGTCACCCATAAATGTATGCATGCACACACTTAAGAGCATAGGTAATTTATTGGTTTAAAAGAATGCAATTATCATTTTAGACCAGCATGTATATGTTAATAATTCTGACAAACCAAAAGTAAATTATATATTATATAACAAACAATGGGTACAACAGTTGAGAAGAGACAGAGTGAAGGGTGAAAAAGAACATTACCATTTAAGATGGTGGAGATAGCCTAGCATAGTCTACTGATGGAGAAAGAAAATAACATTATAAAATGTTGGCTTTAAAAATGGTATTATATATATACAAAAAACTCATGAAGCTATTCTCGAAAACACCAAACAATCCAATTAAAAAATGGGGTACAGAACTAAATAGACAAGTCTCAATAGAGGAATCTAAAATGGCTGAAAGACTCATAAGAAAGTGTTCAACATCCTTAGTCATCAGGGAAATGCAAATCAAAACAACTCTGAGATACCATCTTACTCCTGTCAGAATGGGTAAAATCAAAAATACCAATGACAGTTTATGCTGGAGAGGATTCGTAGAAAGAGGAACACTCCTCCACTGCTAGTGGGAGTGCCAACTTGTACAGCCACTGTGGAAATCAGTATGGCGACTCCTCAAGAAAATGGGAATGAGTCTACCACAAGATCCAGCAATTCCACTTCTAGGCATATACCCAAAAGAAGCACATTCATATAACAAGGACATATGTTCAACCATGTTCATAGCAGCATTATTTGTAATAGCCAGAAACTGGAAACAGCCTAGATGCCCCTCAACTGAAGAATGGATAGAGAAATTGTGGTACATTTACACAATGGAGTACTACTCAGTGGTAAGAAACAATGACATCCTAAAATTCATAAACAAATGGGCAGAACTAGAAAAAAACATCCTAATTGAGGTAACCCAAAACCAGAAAGACAAATATAGTATGTACTCACTCATAAGTAGATACCAGAAAAAAAAGCAAAAGATACCCAAGCCTACAATCCATAGCCCCATAGAAGCTTGAACCCTCTTTCAGAAGCAGATGGAAGCAGATATAGAAATCCACAACTAACCAATGGGCCAAGCTCCTGGAGTACAATCAAAATGAGGGAGGAGCAAAAATATGGACAAAGGAGTCAAGACCATGATGGGGAAACCCACAGAATCAGCTGACCCGAGCTAGTGAGAGATCACTCACTCAGATCATCTGCATAAGACCAAACTAGACTCCTTAATATAGGTGACAATGGTATGACTGGGATAATATATGAGGCCACTGGCAGTGGGTCCAAGACCTAACACTAATGTACAAACTGACATAGCAGAGCCCGTTCTGTATGAAGAGATACCATGCCCAGCCTAGACACAGGGATGTGGGGGTGGAGCAGGTGCCTTGGTCCTGCCTCAACTAGATGATGGGACAGACTTAGTAGACTTCCTATGGGAGGCCTTACTCTCTCCGTGAAGCAGATGGGAGGGGGGAGTGGAGAGAGTGGGAGGGAAGGAAGGAGGGGGAACTGGGATTGAAATGTAAAAATAAATTTAAAAAAGCTGAACATTATTAATGAGCTTGCAGATAAGTATGCAACATAGAATCCATTAACAGGAAACCATATTATCAATTTATTTAGAAGAAGAAATTATGTTCTAATTAAATATACAAACATAAAAAATAGAAAAATGGTATTATAAATTTCCTTCATAGCAGAGCCTGTAGATAATGCTTTGTTTTTATCAAGAAATCAATAAAAATCATAGAGTTAGGGAGGTAACTGTAAAGACAACTGTACACAATTTTTAGAAATATATATATTCTAGAAAGCCAGAGTGAGGCATAGGCTCAGTAAACCTTCCTGACTACTACAAATAATTGCCTCTGCATTTATAATCATATATATTAATTATTTTGATTAAAGTTAAAACCATTTGGAGGAAGATAACAAATAGACAAGAAGGTAAAGGATGGAATGCTTTTTTAAATTGGATTCTAGTTGCTTAATTAACTGGTACTTACTCATTATCGTCCGTGGTTTTGTTTCTTTTTTCTTTTATTCTGTCACGGCTTTTCTTTTCTTTCTCTGTAATTTCACTCTGATACACTTTGTCTCCAATAAGCCTAAAACACAAGGCACAGTTGTGTTACCAGCTCTAAGACAAACTCTAGCATGGTTCTCAAAGCCATAACAACCCCAGAAAATATTTGTATGTGCCTCCTGGGTATGCAGATAGAATGCATTTCAGCCTTGCATCATGTATTCCACTCAAGAGCAATTTTCATCAAGACCAAAGGGCAGCGCCCCAACCCAGGGTACCTCCATTCTGTAGGAGAAAACCCCAAGATCTCAAACTCCCACAGGAACCCAGCAGCTCACACCTTTCCCACATAAAAACTAAACACAAAATATCTACCACAGAAATAACTCTGTCTCTAGGATCCAAATAAGAGGAAATATATTTGATCCTATATCTCAAAGGTTTCATACCATCTTACTGTTCAGGTCTCAATTTAATCATAGCTCCCTCTAAGCCATTTCCATGAACTCATTTCCCAATGGAGCCATTTTTGACAAGAATGGTGGTGATGATTATAATACCAGCCCTCAGGAGGCTAAGGCGTGAGGGATGATGAGTTCAAAGCTAGTCTGGGATACATAGTAAGACTTTGTCTCAGAAAACACAAACAAAAGCTCCTCTCAATCTTTATACTGTAGAGTTTACTGCTGTCTAAAATGATCTCATTTATTGATGACTACCTTGGTTCCCATCCTAGAGCCTTCATCCCGTAGCTGATGGAAGCAGAAGCAGGTACCTACAGCTAAACACTGAGTCATACTCCTGGAATCCAGTTGTAGAGAGGGAGGAGGGATGAGCAAAGGAGCTGAGACCATGCTGGAGAAACCCACAGAAACAGCTGACCTGACCTAGTGACAGCACAGAGACCCTAGTCGTAAAGCTGGGGAACCAGCATTGGACGGAACCAAGCCCTCTGAATGTAGGTGCCAGCTAGGAGGCCTGGGCAGTCTATGGGACTTCTAAGAATGGAGCCAGCGTTTATCCCTAGTTTACAAATGGACTTTGGGAGCCTGTTCCCTACTGCAGCCCAGATACACGAAAGAGGGCCTAGGTCCCCTCCCCAATGATATGACAGACTTTGATGATTCACCCATGGAAGGCCTCACTATCCTTGGAGCGTGGGTGAGGTGGGGTGGGGGGTCAGTGAGGGGCATGAGAGGATGGGAGGGCAAGGGAATGGGGGATTGGTATGTAAAATAAGATTGTTTCTAAAAAAAATCTCATTTACTAATTCATGAATGTAATTAGTATTTCTCCTTGACTGAAATTTCTAGAACAGAGCAATGTTCTCCTTCCTTATACCAATACCCTTAAAGAGGGCCTGTTCTAGAGTGGACATGAAAGATGGAGAGGAGGAAAGAAACAGGGTAAGGAGGAAAATAAAAGATGAGGAAGAAAAGAATGGAATGAAAGAAGAAAATAGAGGAGGATAGGGATATGGGGGCGGGAAGGGGAAAGGAAGGAAGTTAAAGATGTTAGAATAGAAGTTAAGGAAGGAAGGGAAACAGGAAACTAGGGAATTAGGGAGGGAGAGGAAGGGAGAGAAGAAAGGGGAAGAGAGTGGAAGGAAAGTAGGCAGGCAACCCTCCCTCTGATTTTTAGACTACCTACAGGATAAGAATTCTCGAGGTTTGATGGGCTATGGACCCCATACTCTATCAGGTTCTCCTTGACCATCCTTGGACAACTGTCTGTCTCTAACCATCACATCGCTTACATGGTGAAGTTGGTGATGAAAGCTGCTGCTGGAATCTGCATCTGGAACTCAACATCCTGATCCTCGGAAGCTCTGTTGAGCACTCTGCAGGAAACTGTGGTGAAGGCATAGCGAGAAATGATGGTAGACTTCACTGAGAACTCCGTCATCAAGGGCTTGGCTTTCTGTGGAAGTTAAAATGCATGCTCTTCTCAGTGATGCATGGAAACGATTAAACGATTCAAACACTTGAGGATAAGTGTGAGTCTCTTCCCACATAGGAAATAATCTCCAACTTTGGAATATGAGTCCTCTGCCCTCTCTATGTCTTGTCCTTAATTCTTTCTTTTAACTCACTTCATTTGTAAAACCAACTTTTACTGGATAATCAATTCATGATGTAGAAGCAACTTTTCAAAACTAATTTTTAGCCAGGTGATGTTGGCACACCCTTTAATCCCAGTTCTCAGGAGGCAGAGGAGGATGGATCTCTGAGATAGGCCAGCCCAGTCTACAGAGTGAGTTCCAGGATATTCAGGACTACACAGAGAAACCCTGTCGATAAAAACAAACATAAAAACAACCAAACACTTTTTTTAAATAAGAGAACACAGTAATTTCCAGTTTAACAAAAAAAGGTCATATTGCTTACGTAGTAAATTGTTGAAATTTTAGAAGTATGCAAAATCCATAATTTCTGCTACAAACTTTTAGATCATAATACAGGGACACTTAGTTTATCACAACTTCAGTATGTGCCAACTGTAGTGCTCAGATTTTCAAGTTGATTTCCATATTCACTCAAAGAAAACGGTAGTCAGGGGCTTCCCCACCTGGATCACAGCTCCATGATTGTAAATTAGTCGTTATATAAATTAGTACCCAACTTGAGAGACTAGCTATTTAGAACCCAGAAAAAAAGAAAACCTACATTTGTGATAATCACATTTACCACAAAGTGTCTTTCAATAAGTATATTTATTTATTTCATGTTTATATATGTGTTGGCAAGCATGCTATCACACATGTGGAGGTCAGAGGACAACTTTTTATAAAAGTTGGTTCTCTTCCTTTCACCATGTGGGTCCCTGGGTTTGAACTCATGTCAGCAGGCTTGGAGGCAAGCCCCTTTATCTGCTGAGCCATCTTCTTGTAAGGGACATAGCTGGTGTGCAAATTTAAGACTGTTCCTTGTTTTGTTTTTTGTTTTTTTTTTGTTTTGTTTTGTTTTGTTTTGTTTTGTTTTGGTGTTTCCAGCTATGTCTGGTGGCAGCTGGTAAAAGAAGCTCCAAAAGAAGAAAACCTTTATGAGGAAATGCATGACTAACCTTGATTCCCTCATTCCAGGAACTGGCTGAGCAACTGACAGGATCATGGGTTGAATGTATGTCCCTCCCACTCCAATCCAGCTGTTGAAGTCTTTTTTGGGGGGAGGGGAGAGGTTCGAGACAAGAGTTTCTCTGTGTAGCTTTGGAGCCTATCCTGGCCCTCACTCTGGAGACCAGGCTGGCCTCTAACTCACAGAGATCCGCCTGCTCTGCCTCCCGAGTGCTGGGATTGAAGGCGTGCACCACCATGCCCAGCGCTGTTAAAGTCTTAACCCCCAATGTGATGGTATTCAGCTGGATTTGGGTGGCCTTGACAACAAAAAGTCCAAGACCAAGGGTCTGTCAAGGCTCAGTTTTTGTTCAGTGTTCCCATCCCAGCTTGCAAATAAGCAAGTTCGTGATGTATATTTGTATGTATGTATATATGTGTGTATGTATGTTCCACATTTTCAGTGTGTGTGTGTGTGAGAGAGAGAGAGAGAGACAGAGAGACAGAGAGACAGAGAAAGAGAGACAGAGACAGACAGAGAGAGAGAGAGAGAGAGAGAGAGAGAGAGAGAGAGAGAGAAAGGAAGGAAAGAAAGAGACCTCTCTAGTACCTCTTCTTACACGAACATAAACCCTCCATCTTCACCATCTTGGCTAATCGTTCTTACCAAATTGTAGTATTTTATTATGAATATTCAAGCAGACAGACAAGACAGTCACTCCATTTGGTCTTGAAACAGATGTAGGAAGCATCTCCTTCTCACTCCATAGACTGAGGCAGCAAATCACACACAGTGATGATACACATAGTGATCATCTTCCAGGCACAGGGATGGAACTTTCTTCTGTTAACCATTACCTGAACATTCAATCCTCATCTGCTTGGTTTCTTTACAAACCTACAGCCATTTCCCAAATACGCATAAGGTTGTGACATGTTAATGTCAAGCAGACTCGTCCTGTGATAGAGAATGTGAGTACAAACCTTTTTCTAAGGAGCTATTTCTTGGGCTTCTATACTCAAAACTATCCGAATAAGAAAAAAAAAACTATATTTGAGGGGTGGACATGTATCACGCATTGTGAGTGCAAAGGGAATATGCTAAAACATCCACAGGAGGACACACAACAAGAACCTGAGCCAAATATATGAGCAGAAAGAGAATACTTGGTGTGTTCCACCCAAGGGCATCAATGATACTCATCTTTTTGTCAGTTTAGGACAGAAAAAAAAAAGACTTCCCGATTTTAGCTTGGGGGAGGGGGAGTTGAGAACTAAATGAGGAGCTAGAAGGACCTACTGTGTGGCATGAGTTTGGTGTGAAGTTCTGTTAAGTAATTATCAAGTAAGTGCAGGAGGATGGGAGAATGAGGCATATTTGAAATAAGTTTTACTTAAAGAAGAAATGAAATTCTGAGGTTGGGTCTAAGGACGAGTTATTTTTAGGTAGTGGTTCTATGGGTGCCTTCTTACAACCTAAGATCCTTGGAGATGGAGTTAGGAAGACTACATGTGAAAGCTGAAGTCAGCAAAGATGGGGAGGGAGAAGGAGTGGGGATAGAGAGACAGAGGGGTCTGTGTTTATTCATCACAACATTACGTAGTACAAAGCAATACACAGGAGCATGTGTGTATTGGATTATCGCTTGTATGAAAAGTATGATTCTAATGCCCCTGAAAGTGTGTAGAAACCACAGATGACCTATGTGGAAGATAGTTAACTGAGTGGTTAGAGGGATCAAACAAGGGCTTGGTTACTCTGTGCTCTTTGTTAACTAAACAATGTGATTATACTTACTTGAAAACAAATAAAATTTGAATTATCATAATTACAGCACAAAACAGTTCATCAAATTCAGTAGACTTTTGCAAAATCCTATTGGAATTTCATTATATTTATTATTTAAGGGAAATTAATATTTATATGATATGTATTTCAATTTGTTCAAAGTCAGCTTTGCCAATGAAAAGTTAGAATGTTCCCCATACTAGGAGGAAAAAATGGCGCACACCATTAATCTCTGGTCTACAGAGTGAGTTCCAGTACAGTCAGGGCCACACAGGGTCTCAAAAAAGTGATGGGGTGGGAGAAAGATGGCTCCCAAAGTAGGGTCCTCTCACTATCAGTGTCATTGAAAACTTATCAGAAAGGCAAAGTCTCCTCACTCTACCCCACAGATCCAGGAGCTTGGATTAGTCTGGCTGAACAAGCTGTCCAAAGAATGAATGCTCACATTCGAGAAGTTTTAAAGTAACTTGCAGTGTCTTTTTATTTTTATTTTATTTTTTGTTGTTTTTCAAGACAGGGTTTCTCTATATCTTTAGAGCCTGTCCTGGAACTTGTTTTGTAGACCAGGCCAGCCTCAAACTCACAGAGATCCACTTGCCTCTGCCTCTGGAGTGCCGTGACTAAAGGTGTGCACCAGCACCATCTGGCACAGTGTCTTTCTTTATCTGTGAATTGAGATGGCTCAAAAAAGCCACTAAGATCACACCACATTCTGAAAACCATGAAGCCCAACAGTAAGCTAAAAGTAAGGGCTATGCAGCTTTGGGGGTTCAAGAAATCACACCCCAGTTCAGAAACAATTGCATTGCCCAACACTGTTTTATGACAATTTGGTCTCTCTCCCCAGATGTGATTTGTATCCAAAAGAAATTCCAGATGTACTTTAACAAAATGCTTCTGTTAACTGATACTATTAAAAATCTTTATTGCATTTCATAGAAATGAGAATTAGGCCACAGAGAGATGGCAAGGATGGTGGTCTCGACAACATGACAGCCTGCCAGGTTTATGAAAGTTAAAATCTGTGTCTCATCATCTTTCAGAGCAAAAAATCCTAAAGTGAATCATGAATTGAGATGAAACATTGACTTTGATCTCCGTTATTGCTGGGAACAAGTTTTCTTACTAAATTAAACATGATTAAATATATTCTTCTCTCTCCAAATCTGAGGGCATGCACACAAACTGTTCACAGCTGTGCTCCTGAGAATTTGTGAAAAGCCTAAAAGATACTATTGCACACAGTGCTGCTCTGATTTCTAAAAATGCACTAGAAAGAAAAAAGAGAAATCTGTAAAAAACAAAGTACCAAGTACTGTGAACTAACTTTTTCTAAATAGCTTTACTTAAAATTTAAACTGTTTCTCAAAAAAAAAAATTCAAGTAGGGGACTCATTCATCAAGAGTGCACAGCACGATTCAGAGGACTCAGGTTCAGTTCTTAGCACCTGTATCAAGCATTGGTCACCTGTAATGCAAGCTCCAGGGGACTCTGACACTTCTGACTTCCATGAGCACCTACCAGTATATACTATACACATAATTTTAAGTATACATATTTCTTAAAAATGACCAAGTCTCAAGGCTGGAGAGAGAGCTCGGCAGTTAAGAGCATGCCCTGCTCTTCCAGTGGGCCCAGGTTTGATTTGTAGCACCCACATGGCAGCTCACAACCATGTGTAACTCTAGTCCCAGGTGATCCAAAACCCTCTTCTGTCTATCTCAGGCACCAGGTATGTGCATGGGTACACAGACATGCATGCAGGTAAAGCATCCATGCATGTAAATACAAAAAATTACATTTTTCATATCAAGTATCAATTTGTATGAAGTCTGGTGTATATGGTTAAAATTTCAGATTATACCAAATGTAATGGCAAGCAAGGCTCTCCCTCCCACCCTGGACTCACAGCTCCATTCCACAAATGCACTATTTAACGGTTTGGGGTATACCCTTCCACAACTGGGGACAATGTTCATGTACTTAGTTGGGGTTTTTGTTTTGTTTTGTTTTTAGTGATGTACTAATTTGCTCATCTTTATCTATCTATTCCAATTATCATGTGCAGCAGAACAAAC